TCTGTGGTCCATGACCATCCATTGATGTTTCAGCATGATGATGCTACTCCGTGTACAACCAATTTAACTGTATAAAGGCCGGTTATTTGAGAACCAGATCCAAATCCCCGCCCCCATGACCAGCTCAATCACTTGATGAGAAACTCATTAAGAATATGTGGGATATCCTTGGAAATGGATAACTGAGGGATACAAACAAAAATGATCTCATTCTATATTTGCCCCCACCGTGTGTGGAACGCCATCATAAAATTACGTAATGTTATATCATAAAAATAATTATCAAAACAAACTGTGCAAATATTTTCATTTGTGGTGTTGCAAAATGTAGACATACTCGGCATAGCCCGTAGCCCCTTACGATGTCAAAAAATCGTATACGATTTCATCGCACGGCGCCCGTGGCATATGCAATCTAGGATTTACTGGTATCCCCTGTATGTATAAACCTACACTGTACCTAAACAAACCCAGACGCCAGCAGGAGATAAATGGCACAAGCATGACATACTGGTAATTAGTATATACCGCCTATTGATGGGGATCTTTGCGTCACCAAGTAACTTCACCCTCTGTTTTTGCACAAAAAAAGGGTTTTGAAGCCCCACCTGTAGTCTTCTCCTTTTTCTCACGTACTGGAAGATACATTATTTAGAGAGACCTGCACTTATTCAGAAGGAAATTGTTTGGTTAGGACTTGGGAGCAACCAACTGCAACGCCATTATAGTATATTCAATCAAAATCATCCATGCCACCTGGGGTCACTTATTGGAGGTCTTCACATCTTGTATTAATCTCATTTCATGAGGAGGAAAGTGCCAAGCCATTCATACGGTCAAAATACATTTTCCTGGGGTAAATTTTTTTCCTTCTCACAGTTCACTGTTCAGTCCGTCCATGCACTTAGATTCGAGTTCTTATATTCCATTTTCAAGTTAACTTTTCAGTTGTATAATGAGTTGTCAGTGAAATAGATTGACATACGCCTCCACGTGCATTGCCTTGTTTCCAAACAAGAAAATGGCGGGTTGTTTGGTGTCGCGGCCATGTGCTGTGTATAATTCAGACGTTGTAAGCTGGTAATGCATGATCACCCGAGCAGGCTGAGAAGATGAGAACGACACTAGGCACCCACCAGATAAAATATAATGCAAAATTGTTAATAGCCTTTCAGATCTGAATTGGGAAATATAAGAAGCTTTAGAAGGCATAGACGTGGTTGTCGGGAATTTTCAAACTCGAGTGAAGTTCCTTATACTTTATTTAACATGTGTAGTGTAGCATGTAAACCTTTTTTACATTTGTCTTTGTACTGTGAGTGCAAGACATACTTCACTGTGACACTTAGTATGTTATCTGATCACATTTCATCCTGTATGGGTTTCAATACTGTCAGGGGAAATAATGTAGATCGAATATCTGAACGGTAAAAAAAAAATGTTGGAATGGGCGCTTTGGTGGTCTGCTTAAATGAACAGATGTTTAACTTGTACTCAAACAGGTATAGTTTTAGGAGCTGGAATCCACGCCCTTGCTATGAACCTCCAATACAAAATCATCGGGCAATTGTTATTGCAAATAAGAAAAGTTTGTGAGTTGAAATGTACCCCATGTCGAAACCTGCGGCCATACTGCTCATTTCTCAAACTCGTAGTCGTGGAGTTGACTTTACACGGTGAGGGTACATGTAGCTTCACAACCGATAAAAAATGATCTGGAAATGTTATGGTTATATGTTAAAATATTATCATATATTATATGTGGTGTAAACGATGATAAATCTAAGTACATGCATTTAAGAGCAAAGTCATCTGATTCTGCGTTCATAATACGACAAAAATGAACAAATAATTGTGAATCATTATAAAGGCTTAATTTGTGCCTTGTGTGTCACTATACGCCAGGTATTTGACATCGAATGCAGAATCATTAGCAAAAATGCGGTCGGAATCCACTTGGAAAAATCAAACTTAGAACCACATTCTGAAACAGTGTTTGGATTCACAGCCTTTGCATATTTGTCAGGCGTTGCAACCTTCCTATAACATGCTTCTAATGTCTGCAGGGTGGGGATATTCACATGCGCCGGTAGTGACAGTGCTCAAAATAAAGTTTTTTTTTTACTTTATGCAGTACTTTACTCCAACTAAGGGCCCTGTATTAGCATATCGAGGCCGACGTCACAATACATATCTTGCAAAAGAAAAAAAAAAGAAAACCAAGTCGATTTTTTTTCTTTTTTAGAATTTAAAAACATTAGCGGTATCCTCTCATGCACGCAGCATGCAAAGTTAAAGACTTTTTCTCTTTTTTTCGTTAAACTGCAATTTGCAATCTCTTTCATGAGCAACCAGATGTTGGAGACATGAACCGACAAAGTAATACATCTCAGACCCTTTCAGTCGCTATGAATAGTTTTCTTAGCTGAAGTTTTGTTGTGTATTTTTATAATTTGATTTTTTCAAAGGAGATATGTACGAGTGTGTGAAGCACGCATGCTTGTTAATTTGATCCTTCTTCATCTTCTTGCAGTATGTTTGAATAATGAACATTGCATAAAAACAATGAGATGTTCTGTTAATTAATGCGCATGTACACTTTGGGTAAAAAAAAAAAAAAATTCGACCAAAAGGGGAGACTTGTTCATAACACGCTGAAATGATAAAAGACACAACAGTTTGGCTCTACATCCATGAACGGCAGCCACATGTAACAATGCAGAACTGACAGAGCATAGCACAAAACGTACTGGAACTGGGAGTGTAAAATTCGGCTGGGGATGTCAAAATGATCTCACGAAGGAGTTGTCACTGCAAGGAGACAAAAATAGCATGTGTATAACCTGTTCGACTGGTCACCTTAACGGGTTCATTGTCGGCGTCTTCTGATAATAATGTGAATTGACCTGCAGAAAACCAGGGAGTGAATAAGTAAATACAAGGCCGCTTTTATAATACAGTATAACCCCATCTGTCCTAATCATTTAATAATATAACAATTGTTGACTTTATTAAATGTTATGGCCTATGGGTTATCATATCAATATATGTATCAAATATTCAATACGACTCATCATCCTAAAATTTATGATGCAACGAGTCAGCAAAAGTTATCATTTACAATCAATTTTGCGCAAATTTCGTTTGTAAGGTTGCAATAGACCACCAAAATGTCAAATATTAAATAACACCCGTCATCCTAAATATTGTATATTTAGCATGAGCAATCATTTGCAAACAATGTTACATCTACTTCGCTTGTCCGATTACTTAGTGGTTGCCATTCAGAATGAACAGTTTGATCGTCTTGATCCTGAAAAAGAAGTTCAAGTGAACATCAATGGCTCTCAATGGACATGCAGTTATTTAATACATGATATGTCAGTATAATAAAAAAAAAATGCATTCTGTTTCTTCTTCAAATTTCAAGCAATACATGGTCTAATAAATGTTCTGGAGTGCAAAAACTTTCCTGTCAGCTTTTGTTCCAATGAATTTAAATAACTATGATTTCAAATCCAAACTCGTCTTTTTATCTGTCCCTTTGTCATTAAAACGTCTGAGTAGTTGCTGTTCAAAATAAATAATAATAAAAATTTTATGGTAGAATGTAAAAGCATGTTCTTATCAACCCTTTCTTATATTGCACTGGTGACAGGAATTATTTGCCAATTCTGCATAATATTGTCTCGACGTTCAAAGCTTCAGTGATAGGTAACCAACTTAGGCCGTCTCTAAGTTGTCCCGAAAAACCTAGGCAACAACGGTGTGCCTTCTTTCAGCACAATCACGTTCAGCGTCACTGAATTTCTTTCTAAAAATGGAATTATTGCGCATGCCTTGGGAACTTTGACATTTCCAGGGCTACAAAACTGAGACCTGGGCGTTTTCGCCTTCAGCTTGCGCCTGGCCGTTGAAAAGACTCCTGCTATCCCTTAGCCAACTAACCTTCACCATGAACAAGCTGAAGTGGTTTGCCTTGCTCTTGGCCATCATGCTTTTAGTGGAGATGTTTGATGAATCGGAAGGTAGGTGTAACACTATGAGAGCTATAAGGAGACATAATTTCATCTTGGTTTTGTTCCACAGTTTTTTACTGAGTTCCCATCCTTCACAAAACTGCCAAACATCTACAGTGCCTAGTTCCGTCAAAAATAAAATGATATGACTAAAGAAACTTAAAAATTATGACAAACAGCAGTAAAGACATGGGGACATCAAAAGGGAGCACCTGAATGTTACCACAGAGAAAAATTATTGTTAATTCCACTTTTAGGTCATACGGGTGGCCGTCGCCGCCGCCGACACTGCAGCCGTCGTCGTCGTCGTCGTCGCAGCCATGGTCACGATAGCACTGCGCTGGAAGACGACCAGGAAACGGGAGAGAGAGACAGCGACGAGGTAAGAAATTTCACACGGAGCATCATTGGATCACGTCAAAACCGGTTTTTGGTTGATCGAACCAGTGAGATCATCCTGGTGGGGTACAATTTTTGAAAAGATCTTGCAATGAAATTTAACAATTACTAGGGCTCTTACTGTCTGCAGATTTTCCATTTCATACCATTTCAAATGTTATCTTTTATTAAAATATATTTAAATATCACTGTATTTTTTTAATCTTTATGCACAACAGTGTTAGTTTGCAATGTTAGTTTTATAAATTATTTTGGAGATGGGACGTTCGGGTAGAAATGTTCTTTATTTCATAGAAGAACTGCAGCAGTATACTATAGCATTATTCACACTGTATAAGCTATTATCCTGGCAAATGTTTTCGGCATTACAGCTCCTTCAAAAGTTGTTACAAATTGAGGATGACAACGATGACGACGAGAATGAGGATGAGGATGAGGAAGAGGATGATGACGAATGAATGAGTCAACCCAAATTTTACGACAGCCTTGAGAGATCTAGAGAGAGAGAGCACAGACACAAAATGTCAAGTGCATATATCAATACGCAACGTTAATGGGAAACGCACAAGTTGAACAGTTTAGTTCCAAATTCGGATCATGTAGACTGCCGCGAATAATTCCATATTTTGGGGATCTAAAACAAGCAAGGTTTTCTGAATAAGTTTCAGTGAACTCGAATTCTGAGAACAACCATGGTAGACAACGCTAGGAAGATTGACACACATAAGCGCACGTGCACGCATGCGCACACGGACATATACACACAAAGACAGACTGATGTATATTCTGACGTTTTTTTTCTCTTTGTTATTCGATTTACCTTCTGACTGTTGTATTTTTAAAGTTTTAAATTGTTGATATAGTTATGGCTAGATTTTCAAGTCGCAGATCAGACTTATATCTGAAATAAACTCTCGGAGTTATTTTGATTGTTTTGTTATGCTTTCGCTGATGTTATGAGAATAACATTTTGGCGGGAATATTTTGCATTCCTAACTCTTTTCACGTTCTCAAAATTTGTATGAATACCAAGTGGCTTTTTGTATGCATTAAAATGATGAAGTTCTTGTTAGATACTTGTTTGTCGTGTATCAATTTTGCATTGTGAAACTGTCCGGAGTATTTTCGATTGCAACAAACACATGGTACGTGGAGGACGATTAAGTCGTGAGAAAAAAAAAAAACAGTTTAAGCTTCCAAATTCTTCATGAACTCCAAGCAATATTGCTAACAATCTTTTTTTGCGGTTTTGTGCCTAAAAACAAAAATATGATTTTGATTGTTTATGTTACAAGTATAATTCTTCAAAAGGGAAAAGTATTAGGCTTCGTTCACATGCAATGTCTATTTTCTAAATTCTATTTTCTATTTGCGGTATGTCTTATGATCACGGTCTGTGCACTGAATATCCCGCCGCGTAATTACTGGCAGCGCGAGCCAGTTACTTAGAGTAACTTATAGTTGTGCAACGTAAATTCGTTCAACTAACACAATCCAACAAACCTGCTTTAAGGATATCTTACTGCCTAACATACATTCTTTTGGGTAATAGATAAATCTTCAGTGTTCAGTGACTAACTTTAATATCATTTACACATATGCCATCTTACGGGTGGCGTCATAATCGCAATTTTGGGGTAAAAACTAAAAAATCGATTTCTCAAATTACCCCCTAGATATTCATGGATAATCGAGTTGATTGCACTTTAGGGAAAATTCCCCGCGGAGGTGGATCGATCCAGCCGGTACAAGGTATATAAGAAAATATGACCTGTCAAAATTCACTATTGACGATGAATGTCGGGCCATTATTACTCAAATAAGAACACTATATTGGTGTACCGACTGGTACAACTGTATCTATTGAGTGAAATTTTGTTGAAATTAATAGCCTAGCTCTAACAATCCAACGTACTGCAAGAGTCTTCTATGTGACTTAGAGTAGACATCTTATATCTGTCCTGGTCCGTTAGGTTGTGCATGAAAATAAAACTCCTAAATTGTTTGAAGATAACTACTTGACAATGATTTGTTGCAGCTTTAACAACAGTGGTCTCGTTTGTTTGCAGTGCTGAAGGGTTTTGCTTAAATAAATTCAATGTGTTGTAATTTACGACACCAAAACCTGTTAACTTGAGGTTGTCATTATACGTCAAGGAAATTGAAGTGTGTCTGTAGGAAGAGATAATTATATGACACAAAAAGTGGTGACAGTGCCGACTGAAACGAATTTTTTCAACAATGTAAGTCCGGAAAGGAGAATAGGTACCGTTATTTATTATTACATTTGACATCGCAAAGCAATTGTTTTCATTATCTCGAAGATGAAAATAATGAATGAATGCCAATGCTTGAAAACAATCTGACTGACAAGGTGATTTACTGTACATAGCAACCACCTTGCACTCTACCTGGGACCTTCTAGCTGTGGCAAAATAAGACGAAGGCCCTTCGTCCTACAAGAGGGCATCTTGAAGAACGAGGACCAGCAGATGTGGAAGACGTGAATACTAATTGGTTGAAACTTATTTGGGTATTTTGTCTTATTCATATTTTTACAATGTAAAAATATTTTACAATTTACAATTTCGGTGTATACTTGAAACTGCATTTATATGTACCCCCAGTGTATAAGAGTTGTCTCAAACAATGAGCTGATCTGTTAGTAACGTGTCGGGGACACGACTGGGTTTGTCAAAATGATCTCTTAAAGAAGATGTCACTGCACGGAAACAGGGTCCATGGCGATTTACGCCATCCCCGTTCATAAATAGTGATCCGACGCTCAAAGAACAACGGCACATTTATGACATGTCCAGCATTATAAAATAAGACGTTTTCATTCATATGTCAAACAAAAGATGGTGCAATGAATGATTTTGTGTGCAAATAGGGATGTGCACTATTTCTTTGGAAATTTTATTTTAAATGTAGATATTTCAGGCGCACACATTAATGTTAAATGTCATTTGTCAACACTATTCAGTGTTTATTATTAGTCTGCTTCATTTCTCTTAGTATTGGGACTTTCAATAAATGCGGCCGTCACCGGCCAAAATTCGAACATCATACTTGAGTTTGTCACATACCTTTATCAGCATGTTGTTACATTCAAATTAGCTTAGATCAAGGAGACATAAAATATCCTGTCATATTATAACTACAGAATGGGTGTCCAAAAGGAAATAAGAATGCTTACTTCGCTACATTGTAGGCGTGACGCACGGTCACCTTGTTTAAGGCAGTCACTGTTAAATATATACTCTCAGAGTGTATTTTGTTTTTGTTTCTTGGTCAAATAAGTCATAATGCGTGATAAAAGTAGTGATTAATAATGCATGATAAAAAAAACAACAGTTTGCTTCAACCGCCATTATTAATAGAAGCCCAAAGGTGGTCAGAACTACAACCATGGGATACAACTCCAAATTCTTGAAAATATATTTGACTATTGAAGATTAAATCGAACACTGAGCCATTCTGTTCAAAAAGGTAAAGATTTGGAAAAGTTTCCGAAGGTTTGAAGAACGTAGTATTGACCAAAGGTTAGACTTGGGTAGCAAAACGTTGCAATGCTTAGCGGATGCTATTCAGAATGAACAGTTTGACTGTCTTAATTTACCCTGAAAAATACCTTTTCACCCCGACTTTCAAGGACAATACAATCTCTCTCTCTCTCTCTCCATTCTCCACATGTAGTTATAGATTTACATAAAGTACACTGTAGCAGCAGTTACTCTAAAATTCTGCTTGTGTCCAGCAATGGTGCCTAAAATAACTCACAATTGGAGACAAGTTCAGTCCAATAGAGTCACGCCGTCCTCGACTCCAAAAGTAGAGTCACGATGGGCTCCGCTTGATGTAAGTGGTTTAACTCTACAAGAGAATCACTGAGATCCAATGTACCGGTAGCAAGGGATTCTTGACTTCAAGGCACGGTGACTGAGAGTGGAAGGCATACCCTGGCACTGTCTTTAACCTGGATCTTATAAATCTAATTTTAATTAAGCAAACAAAGAATTCAGTTTAAGTAAAAAAAATTCTTAATGCGATTTCAAAATTATCTCAAGGAAGAGATGTTACCGCATGGAAACAAAATAGACCATGTGTAGACCTGTTCTTTTCGACCTGTGACCCCAGCGGTTCCAATGGTGTCATTTAATAATGAGGTGCATTGACCCAGAGAGAACCAGGAAGTGAACATGAAATAAGTTAATACAAGGTTTGTCAGTATTATAACAATGAAATACATAAAATTCTGTATTCCTCATTCAAATGCCAAGCAATACATGGTCTAATGAATGTTTTTGTGTGCAAATAATATCCTGCAAGTTTTTGGTTAAAACTATTTTTTATTTCTGTTCCTCTGATACTAGAACCACCTTTGCTGTCAAAATGATAAATTTTATGTAGAATGTTTTTAGTGAAAGCAATTTCTTATGAAAGCTTTCTGACATCGCTGACATGAATTATTTGCCGATTTTGTAGACGCAACGCACAAAGCTTCAATAACAAATAATTTATCTAGACGATATGAAAATTGCCCAAATACCCAGGTGACGACAGCAGGCCTTTTTTTCAGCAGGGGCGGATCCAGGATTATTTGAAGGGGGGGGGGGGGTTCGAAACGCCAGGCCTCAGATGCGAAGTCGACCATCGCCCCCTTGGTGTGGGGCTCGGGGCCTGCTCAAGGGCCCCGAAAATTTATTGGTGTTTTAGAGAGTAAACAGTATCCTTTGGTACAATCTAGAACTATAATTTAGCTAGTCAAAATTCTAATTTCAAGAGGGGAATATTGATGTGATATATTTTTCAGAAACCGAAGTGGGGGTCAGGACCCCCCCCCCTCTGACCCCCTCTAAATCCGTCACTGATTTAGAACAATCTACATGTAGTACAGCATTACGTATTTTTATTTTTGGAAAAATGCAATAATTGCGCATGTCTCGGAAACTTTGACATTTCTTGGGCAACAAAATTGATAGTTGAGCGTTTTGGCCTCCAGTTTGTGCGTGGCCGTTGGAAAGACTCCTGCTATCCCGTGGCCACGCTGACACTCACTATGAACAAACTGAAGTGGTTCGCCGTGCTAATGGCCATCATGCTTCTGGTGGAAATGTTTGATGAATCGGACGGTAAGCATAAGACAATGTGGGATAAAAGAAGACATAAAATTGTCTTGTTTTTTTTAAGCTTTCATTGAGTCCCGTGTATGATTATCCTTCACAAACCTTTACAACAATGAAAGCTTCCAGTTTTGTCAGAGAAAAAAAAATACTTTCAGAAACTAATGAACTATGGGAGCACACACATGAAAGACATGGGAAACTACAATTAAGAGAATTAATTGTATTTATGTAGCAAATGGTTTGTTTTAGTGGTGCTATTAACTTTTTGGTAATACATCAACGTTTTGTTTGGGTCTTGTGTCTGCACATTTTGACCTTAAGTAGTTGACC